TTCCCTCTGAAAAACTTCTTAGGGATTTACTCTTTCTTATGACCTAGACTGCTTCACTTAAATTGAATCATGCAAGCAAAGACAGTGACAGGCTAATCACAGGGGCAGTTGAATCAAAGTAGTATTTAGAGTGACCTGGTTTTGTACTGCCTGCTAGTGCAAGTCCACATATGGTTCAGCCAAGCAGTGTTTGGCATAAAACTGAGGTGGTGGGAATGCTACACCATTCAGGCTCCAGCCTGAATGCTGATAAGTGGTACAGCAGCCTCAGGTCAAATGTAGAATATATAGCTGCCAATGATCTGCAGATATTATTACGACAGCCAGGAATTAGACGGACAGAGAGATGCTCCACTCATACCCATTTTTTCCTTCCCACCTGGGCCTGGCAGCTGGGGCAGGGAGTGAGTGATAGCCACAGTGATGCACCATATCATCACAGGCACTCCCTATCTGAGGTAATCTTCTGAGCGCCAGATCTGGCAGGCCGTATTATCCCTAAATATGCAGTGTAGCTAATAAATACCAAAGGAAAACATAAAACCCGTTCATAGTCCTATTGAGAATAGAGGGGATTTGTGCCCATCAACGTCTGTTAAGAATTGGCCTTTTTTTATATTTTAAATAAAATACAATCTAATTATAGGCAGTAATGAAGATTTCTTCTCCATATACGAATAGCATTGATCATATAATTTGAGAGTTTTGGAGGAAAGATAGCTTTGATTTTGTTTTACGTGGACTACGCCGTCTCACCAGATCAAATCTGGAGCTTTGACTTATAAGTAAAACTCCCATTAGCATTTATAGGTGAAACCCCAGCAACGTCAATCATTTTGCCCTGATATACCCCATATCTAAATTTGTTCAACTCATGTACATATATATTGCAAAATGTGTCAGTTCCTGAGGAGATAAAGGTGGGTTACATTGCTCTCAGGTCCCCAGGAGGAACCCTGTTTGTCTGGAGAGGATTTTAAAACGTACCTGTCACCAGTGGTTTCCCTGAAACACGTTTGACATGTCCTTGAGTTATCACTTTGATCAACACATTGTGGTAGTTCCATTAACTGTAAAATGGGTCCTATAGGGTGAAATATATCAGCTGGCTAGAACCTGCCAATAGTTTTGTCTCCTCACAAGCTGCTTAATCCAGGTTTTTCGTCTTTATTCATATATTCAGAAAAAAAAAAAGAACATTTACCAACTGGGGCAGAGACTGTTTCATGAGGCTTACCTAAGAGCTCCCACACTACAATGAAGTGCTTTGTCAACCAGCCAGCAGTGAAATGACTCCTCATAATCAGATTGAAATAATAATTGTGAGTTGTATGACAACAGTCCTTTGACTATAATACATTTATCATAAAGGTTCACTGGAGAGCACCTATTTGGGCATGTTATTTTGCCAATCGCTTTAGAAATACTTTAAAAAGTACACTTGGAGGACATTGAATGCTGTCATTCATCAATAGCTGCAATGACTTTTGACCTGTGCAATCTGCAGCAGGGCTTGTTAACAGAGTTATAGCAAGGTTTCAGCTAGGACTGTTCAAAAAGAAAATCCTTGACCATACTGGAGCAGCAAACAATCACAAATTATTCAGGTAGGCAATTGCAGGGTACTTGGACCTACCATGTTCACTTCAGAAATTAGTTGAAGTGTCTTACTTGCAGTCCTTGAACTTTACAATTGCTTCTGTCATACCAGAAGGGGGATCTCACCTACAGGAAACCAAAGTTATTGAATAGAATGTACCTTATGAAACAGACAGCACAGTGAAATTTTAAAGATTCAAGACTTCAGCTATTAAATTGTGCATGAAGAGCGTAATATTCCCTCATCCTAACCTCAAACTACCCACAAGAATCAGTTTATGGTGTATATCCACATCACAGAGCTGTAAAAAAAAAATTCACGTGAAAGGAGCTTCAGAAGCTGTGCTCCTTATTTATGGAGAAGCTCCATATTTATGGAGATAGTACAATATTATAACCCTTAATGTATCTGTTTACTGATTAAAATATCATTAGAGGGCCTCTGTCAGGACAGTTTAGGCCAAATTTATTATTTGTACAAATATCAATAAAAATGTTATATATAAAAACAGTTCATTTTAATGGATTTCTCTGAAATCTGTGTATGAAAACTGTTCATTGTAACCTGTCATTTTCTCTTACAATGAAATCCCAACATTCTAAATGTTTTGTTTCTCAAGGTGCATTTACTTTCCGGGGAGGAACTAAGTCCAAAGAATCAAATACTTGACAATAGTAAAATGCTTTTGGTTTCAAGCCATGTCGTGACGTCCCAACTCACAAATCACAATCTGTGCTCTGCAAAAGCATGCACCACCAGGACTGGGCATGTGTTTATCCTTGGCTTAGTTGGGCTCTTTTCTTGCTTGCTTTCTGTAATGTGCTGATTTAATATATTTGTGAGGAGTATAATAAATCCTAAGTACATAACGGTTGCTTAATTAACTTAATTTGCATAGGTTTAAGAAGTTCTGAGTGTATTTTACTTTTTGGACTGTAAATGACACTCAAAACACACGGGACTTGATTTTGTTTTCACTCCATCACTGATGTTCCACTGATATAATGTCATTGAATTCAGTGGAGGTACTCCTGATTTACATTTAGTGTACATGAGATTGAGATCAGGCCCAGTAATCACTTCTACTTGGCACTGATGCCCTTTGGGGTGCCCCATAGGGCAATGACTTGGTGGCTCTAATGCAGAACTCTCCAATTAATTTTGAATTGCAGCATCATATATTATACTTGTCATCCAAATGCACATTCTTCAAAGAGCTAAAGTCTCTAACAATACTTGTTTCCATACCTGAACCTAATAGCAATATATGCAGCTAAAACTGGCTAATTGTCCACAGTTCTATATTTCATACAAGAGCAACCTGGACAAAAACTTGTACTACAGTATAAAGAATTGTACTCTATTGCCAGTAGGTGGCAATCTTGGCACAGAATTTGTACACAATTCTTGCTTTCCTCTCCCCCCCCCCCCCCATTCTTTTGTGTAGAAAATCAAATTAAACAAGAGGCAAAAAATAGTTTTATGGTGGAGTCATCATCAAATATGTCTAAATCAAGCACAATTAATAGTTGATTTCAGCATGATTATTGTTACAAGTGTAGATTATACATCCTGGATTCTGCTCTGTGATCAACAATAATTATCCAGAAATGCTCCATCTTCCAGTGTTGCTAATGTAGATGTCTGTGCTGCTGGAAAATAACAGTTCAGTATTGTTTATGGTAAAGGTAATAACCTCTGAATTATTCATTGCCATGTGGCTGGCAGGCTTTTCAGAGTCCCTTTGCCCTTTGGCTTTCCTTGGGTGAATATTTACAGTGAGTCATTTAGGCTAATGTTAAAGAAAATTAAATTTCTTGATTGGTTGTCACTAGAGCAGTAATGGGCTGCAGCATTCTGAGAAAGAGGAGTCCCCTTCCCAGCCCCCCTTCAACAGCTTTATATTAAATGTCATCATAAAATATGTAAGCCCAGAGACTAATCTTTTTAAAAAATGAAACAGAAGAAAATTGCCAATTTTAATTCAAACCGCCATTACATTTCTCATAATGTATTCAATTAAGAATCTCTAAAACATATTGTAGTAGAGTCTTCAGAATGCTCTGTACGCAGCACAGCTGCTAAACTTCATCCCTGAGGCAAACACCAAGCAGGCAGGACAACAAAAAGAAAGAAAACAACCATGGGGGATAAGCCCAGTAGCCGTGATCCTTTCAGTGGACTTGAGCGGTCCTTAAATAGCATGCGGACTCGTTCGTGCACTGGGCTTTGCCTCAGGCTATTAAATACCTTAACTGGCAATCATTACCTGAGTCAGAAATCTCCAGAATCCCTCTCTACTTCACGTTTCAATGTTGAATGCTCTTCTCAACTTTATGGGCCATAAGAACATATTGAGAACATGCAAAGAGTGACTTAGAATAGGCAGGGATGGCAGAACCTTGTTCATGCCCTAAGCAACAGTTGAAGGATTTAGATTCAAATTATCAACCTTTTATTTCTTTAGCAGTGAAAAATGAAAAGGTACTAACTATGAAAGACACTTACACAGACATTAATGTATATTGTATATCTAATGTGTGTGTTTGTATATATAATCTGCCTGGTGCTAAAATGGGGGTTTTATTTCAGCTATTACTAATATTTATAATGTAATATATCCCTGTAGATGTACATTGTGCATTACAAAATGTCAGGGTCCTTGCTCCAAAGACCTTACTTGGTCTGGTCTACACACAGATTTTGTTCTGCTATAAGTATGATAGCTTGTGGTGTCATATATATACTTACCCAGTCAGGTATGTTGGTACTACCCCTTGTGTGGATGCAGTTATACCAGAATAAAGATCCTTGATACTAGTATAGCTCATTCCCCTTCCCATACATGCATAATCTATACCAGTATAATCCTGTTTATACCAGAATAAGCATGTTTTTTCGTTATAACTACATCCACACTAGAGGGGTTGTATTGCTTTAACTGTACCAGTATAGTTAAAGTTGTACAACTTTGTAGTGTAGACAAGGCTTAAGAGGCTGATCCTGCAACTCTCAGTCATGGCAGTAGTCCTAGTTCACTCCAATTAGCCTCATTAGTGGCAGTGAGACTAGTGGCATGAGTAGAGGCTACAGCACTGAATGCAGTGTCAAACAAGGTGCCACAAGTACTCCTAATTTTGTTTTTTTTTTTCTTTACAGTACCAGAGATTATGGTTCAGATGTGGAGAAGGGGGGAAAATCAGTGTCAAAATGCTTCACAAAAGGCCTGGGTTTAGAGGGGAGAGGTGGCACATATTACACAGGAATTGGGAGACTGTTTTGAGTATAAGAGGCTTTTGCATCATACTCCTGTACTGGTTCTTTCCTTCCACCAATTATTTTTTCTCCGCTTTTCCCAGCTAAACCCATTTCTTCTTTCCTGATTTCTTCTTTTCTTCAGCGGTGATCCCTCTGACTGATTCTGAACACAAGTTACTGCCTTTGCACTTTGCGGTTGATCCTGGGAAAGGCTGGGAGTGGGGGAAAGATGACAATGATAATACCAGACTGGCCAGGTAAGAACTCTCTGTAATCTTAACAGTAAGGTGTCTTGAACCCATCAAGCCTGATCTATGTTCCGGGACGCTCACTAATAGAGAGCTTTATTGGGGGAAAAGAGGTGGGTGGGTCTCAACCTTACTAATGTGCTGTGAGCTGCTGTTAGTCTGAACAATGCAAATTATCTCCTGCAGTGAAGTGTGCGTATTGATTTTCCTTGGATGTATTTTTAACTAATTAGTCATCTGTTCTCTTTCCTCTGTTTTTCTTCAGCTTGATTCTGTCTCTGGAGGCAAAGCTTAATCTCCTGCACAGCTACATGAATGTAACCTGGATACGCATACCATCTGAAACACGGGTAACCCTTCCCTCTGTCTAAACAACAGAAGAGAAATAAGCCACAACAGGGCTTGTTCATAGGGGAAATTGCGGGGTTCGGCTACCTGCCTTGTGTCACCTCAGGAGTGAACCAATAGCCAATAAAGGCACAGAGCCTGGTGTGGCTCACTGATTTTGGAATAAGGCTTGTAAATTTTCCATCTTTTTTTCTTTAAAACACACAGACACACACAGCTGCATGGGTGTTTTTGCAACATGCACTCCACTTTGAAAAGTAGTTCCTAGTAAAACTCTAATCTTTTGGAATTATTTTTCTCTAGGGTTTTTGTTTTGTTTTGTTTTAATTCTCTCTCTATTTTTAAAGGTTTCCTGAACTATTTAGGCCGTTCTCTGCATTATGCTCCAATATTCCCAGAAGGGCAGCTGCCCTTTCAGCAGCATTTTATGGTCTAAAACATCCCATTTCAACTCAATTTCTCTTATAAGAACTAAATTTGGACCACTGGATAGCTCATAGCTCCACTTTTACATTAGAAAGTGGCTGACAGGGCCACAAACTGCTGCTAGAGTGGCAGCCCAGCACCTTGGGAGGAGGAAGCTATTTATAATGGTACACAGCTGGGACCTCATTGCTGAATCTCTCTCACACTATTCCCATGCAAATCATATTAAAGGAAATGGGGGTTAATCTAGAGTCAATAAGTTGATGGGCGAGGACAAAGGTAACGAGGCACCAAGCACAACCAGGGGTTGAAAAGAGAAATTGAGGGTTCAGGGAAAACTGCAAAGGTCTGCAGGAGAAAAAGGTAGTTTTACAAGGCCCAGCGTATGCTCATTGAAGGCACTAATCCTATTAAGAGACTTCCAGACCCTTTCTTTCCTCTGTCAGTTCCAATTACTCCCACATACTCTCTGCCCATCCCTTTCATTGACAGATCCTCATTTCCCCCAGTTGTTCATGAATCATGTCTGGTCCCATTGAGGTGTTACCTACCATCTAGCAGATTCCCCTTTGCTTCCACTGAATTAATCTGTCTGCGCAGACAAGCCCCATCTCTATTTATTATTATTATTAATTATTTTATTGTATTAGTTGACAGGCTCATGGGCTGGCTTTTCATTCCTCTGCACTGTGGGATGGATATTGTTTTATAAAGGAACTGTGAGCTCATTTTTAACTGAACTGAAGTGAAGGAAACTCCTAGAGGAAAATCCTGGCCCCATTGAAGTCAATGGCAAAACTCCTATTGATTTCAGTAGAGCCAGGATTTCATCCTTAGTGTTGGAGATGATGATACATTTGTCCTTGTTCTTGCATCTAGTATTAATCAGTAATATTAAGTGTATAAGTGTAGAGCACTGCCGCTCCTTCTGTTGTTTGTATGCGTGTCTTTGACTCAGTTGTCTATACCAGAGAAGTAGAACCAGTTCTTATTGAGTCACAATGTATAAATAACTCTGCTGAGAGCATAATGTTGTCTCACTTGTGCTTTTCCACAGCTAGATAGTCATCAACTAATTATTGACAGGTTTATTTTGGATGGGGAGAATGGCATAACTCCTAGTAATTCCCCAGCAGAGCTGAAACTTTCCCCCTATGGAATGAGGGTGAAATTGCCCCTTTTGCAGAAGGCCAGCCATAGGTGCTGGTGCTGGGGGTCCTGTCGCACCCCCTGGCTTGACGTGATTTCCATTATTTACAGAATTTACAGTTTGGTTCAATGGTTTTCAGCAACCCCACTGGGGCCAGCACAAGCATATGCACCACTTAAGACTTATTCTGAGGACTCAATTGATACATAGTCCCCGTACTGGCTTTTTGCAAAGGGATGAATTTTGCTCTGAAGGATTATGGTTAGTTAAACTTCTCATATTTGCTGTTTGGCAGATGTAAAGACCTCGTGCTTCCTGGTGCTAAACATGCTCAATATCCATTGTAGTGAATGAGTGATTTGGGCGCTCATCATCCCACAGGATCCGCCCTCTACATTAGCAAGAGATTCACCAAAGAGGCCAGCTGTTGCAGTAGTTTTAGAGTCTATTTTTCCCAGTTCTGGAGACTTATTTTTATCTCTGTGGTCCCAAATGAGCTTATGATCTCAACTTAGACCCTAATGAACACTGGTCTCTATCCCGGACGTGTCTCGCAAATGAGTATGATTTGCAGCATCTGTTCCAGGGAGGCTCAGGATTGAGAGGGCAGGGGTGTTGCCAGCCAGGACTGAGCTGTATTCATAGTTTGGGAACCTTGCAAGTCTCTTAACTATTATTTTCATAGCATTTGCTAGTGCTGTTATTGTCTGGCTTCCATGAATCCCCATAAAATAATTATAGTGATGCACCTTGAGAAAGATGTGGTAGCCTAGCCACAAACTGGGCAAATATCTCATGTATGAGAAAGAGTGCAAATTTGTACTAAGTGTTAATGTTGCTCTTCAGAACAAAAATGACACTGAGTGAATAGTCTTGCAGAATTGTAGTGAAATTTACTAGCCCTGGCACAAAATCAGTTACCAATCCTTTACCTTGATGGTGATGAAAATGAAGAACTTTACTCTCTCACCCAGCAAAAAATGTCACTTACTCTCAACAAGTGGGTGAGTAGAATTTTGCAAATTAGAATAAACATGTGCAAGTTTGAAAGCTACAAGAATTTTTAGTGTCCCATTTGGGATCCTTTTGTAACTATTCTGTGCAAACTGTTATGTAGTTTCACCTTCAAGCATGAACTGGAACTCAGAGTTCCAAATAAATGTTAACTCTTCCCCATTTTGTGATTGACAGTCGTGTATTTTTTTTATAAACTAATATTGTTGCAGAATATACACTTATCCCTGAAGTAATATAACCTCTGTTTTGTTCATTGTAGGCCCTGTAGGCTACAGATGTTAATTAAAACTTAACTTTAAAATGGCTCTACGTAGATTTAAAGCTACAAGTTAGAAGCAATTTGATGGGGGATATGAAATGCAATCCTTGTGTTGTGTAAAACTGATTTTATTCTATCTAATCATAACTAATTTCCCCTAACAGGCTCCTTTGGCCCAGCCAGAATCGCCCACCGCTTCAGCAGGGGAGGACGTTCAGTCTCTGGCCGACTCAATGGACTCAGACCGAGATTCCATCTGTAGTAATTCGAATGGCAGCAATGGCAAAAATGGTAAAGAAAAGGAAAAAGACAAACAGAGGAAAGATAAAGACAAAAACAGGACGGATTCAGTTGCCAATAAACTCGGAAGCCTCAGTAAAACTCTAGGAATTAAACTGAAAAAGAATATGGGTGGGCTGGGAGGGCTAGTGCATGGCAAGATGAGCAGAACAAATTCAGGGAATGGGAAAAATGGCGACATCACAGAAAAAGTCAAAGAGAAGAAGTCAAAGTCTCGCAAAGGGAGCAAAGAGGAATCTGGACAGTCTGCGAGCACGTCTCCGTCTGAAAAGACAACTCCCTCTCCTACTGACAAGGCAAGCATCTCACCTGCCGAAAAGATAAACACGAAATCCCTCTCTGACAAACAGTCTGACCCGTGGAAATACAGCACCGATGTAAAGCTCAGCCTCAACATTTTGAGAGCTGCCATGCAAGGAGAACGCAAGTTTATTTTTGCTGGCCTTCTTCTGACTAGCCATAGGCATCAGTTCCATGAGGAGATGATCGGCTATTACCTGACCAGTGCCCAAGAGCGCTTCAATGCTGAGCAGGAACAGAAGCGAAAGGAGGCTGAGAAAAAAGCTGTTCTCAGTGGGTCATCTTGCAGGAAACTGGAGCAAGAAGCATATTCAAAAGAAAAGTTAGAATCATCTCCTCAGGACAGGGCATCACCAGTCTTGCCTCAAAGCCATACAACTCAACTGGTTTTAAAGTTTAAAGATCGCACTAGTCCCACTCCAGGGTCATTTTCTTCACCAAGTAATGGTGCTAAGAAAAGCGGACCCGTTCCGGTATCTGCCCACTATAGCCATACTCCACCTGTTCAAAGGCAAAGCGTTATTCATTTGCATGATGTCAACTCCAAGCCATCTAGCTTCCAAGATGATAGCTATAAGCCAGTGGTTGGCACCTTAAAAACATGTGCCACTTATCCCCAACAGAATCGATCGCTGTCTTCACAGAGTTATAGCCCAGCCCGGATATCAGGTATCCGTACAGTGAACACAGTGGAATCACTGACCTACGCCATGCCTACCGACCACAAGTCACAGACATTTACAAATGGGTTTAATACCGGTGATATTAGAGACTGCTTAGAATATGCTGATGAGGAGGCTCCTCAGACCTGGTTGAACAATGATAAAAACCGAGGCAGAAGCACAGTTTGCCCAATATATTCCATCCAGCAGAACCGTTGCAAGAAAGAGAACTGTTCCTTTTATGGTCGTCCTGAGACTGAAAATTACTGCTCATATTGCTACAAAGAGGAGTTAAAGCGTAGGGAGAAAGAAAGTAAGGGACACCGGCATTGAGGATTGTGAGGATCCTTCCCTGTCTGCTTAGTTTAACCAGTTTCTTACTTGCAAAGTAAATAGCAATGGATTGTGGGAAAAGGAATCCTAAAAAGGGAATGATGGGTAAATAATGTCTAGCTTGTCACTTTTCTGGGGCAGTGCAGAAATAAGAGGATTAATTTATCATAAAGAATTTATTATTTTCCATTTTGTCAGTGTCTTTTTTACATACACTGGTAAGCTGAAAGGTTGTTTACTCCTTTGTTAGTGCTGTGTATATGTTTGGTCAAAAATGTACTAATGGTGCCTGAATTTACACTGACATCACTCAGGTAGTAGAATGACAGGGAAAAAGTCATAATACTGGAGATGTGGTATTGTAATAGGATCGTATCTGCCTCATATACATTTGAAATTCTATAGCCATCATGGGGTGATTTTTTTCTCAATAGAAAGTAAATTTGTCATAGCCCCTTTTTTAGAATGGTAGTCATTTTGCATACTGCAAATTTTTAACATAGTGACATAGTACATCACTGTAAACATTTGTATTCATTTTAGTGTGAAACGCAGTGTCTCCAGAAATATGTGAATGAAGGTCTGCATCTCATGAGGACTGTATCTCCTCATAAGCATAGGTGCTTGCGGATTTTTTCCTCCCAGTTCAGTAAAAATCTGAACTAGTCAATCCATTTGTTAATTTGTTGTGAATTGCAAGACAGTTATTGGACATTGTTAGAAATATACTGTGGCCCTATTACATGCAAGATTTTGCATGACACACAAATCCCAGCAAATAATCTGTCACATGAATTTCAGCAGCATTTTTATGGCTGTGAAGGTGGGGAGAAATCTATAAAAACTACCCTAAAGGACTTCCAGAACTTGCTCACCAGCCAGAATTTTTTGCCATAGTCTAGGGCTGGATGAATTGTTCAGCACAAATAATATGTTGCACAAATTTAATTCCCCTATCTACAATCTGACTTCTTTCTTTTATTAATTTGTTCATTCTCCAAAATACTTGGATGAATGGTTATTGTGAAAATACTTCCATCTAAGCACTACTTGCAATCTATTTGTTGCAACTGTTGTTTGAGTCTTTTGGACTGAATAACACCCCACACACACACACACACACACACACACACACACACACACACACACAAAAGAGCGTTCAAGATATCTGTGCAAACGCTTCCAGCATGAATACTCATGCAAATACAGATTTGTGCAAGTCTTCATATCCAAATATTGGCATAGGTATTTGTGATAGTTCCTTTCCCCTTTGGGGTAAAGTGTTGTTCTCATGGATGTTTGTGAAAAGCAGATAGAAGGGGTAACAAATACCATCAAAGTATATTTGTGGTTCTTCTTTCAACAAGTTTTTCTGAATGTTATTGCAGTTTTCATGCCACCAACCAATGTAAGTATGGCAATAAAACAAACTCAGATTTTTAATATTTATACACTTGTAAACAATAGCTGATTTTTCTGTCTGTCTACATTTATGAACAATAGCTCATTTCCTGCAGGTAGACAGAAAAGCACTTGCCTTCAGGACTCTCTTTGCTAACTGGTAATTCTCTGCCATTCTCAGGATCATGAGTCCAGTTTTATTCAAGTATTGAACAGCATTTTTCTGGGCCACAAGTGGCTCAGGGCCTATTCTCACCGTACATACTCAGATCTTACACGTGTGTAACTGTTAATTTGAGTACAGTTGCTCCTACTTAGCATTGGTGTGAGCTCAGTCAATCCCTTTGGCCCTGATTCAGCAAAGCACTTAAGCACATACTTAAGTCCATTCATTTTCAGGAAAGCATTTAAACATGAGCCAAAGCCCCCTTGAAATTAGTGGGACTTTGGCACATTCTTAGCGTTAAACACATATTTAATTTTTTTGCTGAATCAAACCTTTTATAGGCATTTTTATTAATGAATCACCCTCACACACACACATAAAGATGAATTTGTGAAAAATTGATGGGCAATACCTCGCTAGCTTTTTCATGAATTCAGACCTGTATTGAACTTGTATCCATTTTTCATGAAAGGAATATGTTATCAAGCTGAATGAGTTATTTAAGCTCCCTTTATTGTGTGACTCCCACTTGTGAAGCCCAGAATTCAAAATCATGTTCTAGGTTTTGTATGCTGGTACACAGAGTCTTCTTTGGTTAGCTGTGGTGATAAAGTATATGTTCTAATTGCCAAAGAAATCTGTGATTTCAGATCGTCGTACAACAAATCAAACATATTTGATTGCATTTGTTATAGAGAGAGAGAGACAGAAAAACAGAAAGGACAAAATTTCATGAAGGAAACAAATATTAAATAATTATTAGAGTAGCAGTAGCATTTGATATTCCTATAAATGCTTTTGTATTAAGTTAAACTAGAGAAAACTGCACTTAGCATCCAGTTGCTCCTGTCCATTTATTTGATTCAGCTGCATCATCTTTGAATAAGAAGAAATGTGGTCACAGCACATACTTAAAAAATACATAATTTACTTGTTTTAAGTTTTTAAAAAATAATTAATTTAGTAAGGTTTTAGATGCAGTACTCCTCAAAATAAGAGGTTTACAAAGTCAATATTTATTTAATTACTATAGTCCAAATTACTTACTAGATTGACTCTTACCTATAATATTTTTCAAAGTGTAATTGATCTGCTGAATAGCACAATTGTGTCAGCATACCCAATCTTCACAATGCGCAATGTCATACTTAGTTTTCTGATAATTTTTCATAATTTATTTCTTCAATGATTTAAAATAAATCTGTTGCGTGACAGTAGTGCTATTACGCAGCCGCCCCTTTCCTCAGCTTCTTTAATAACTTATTGGGCCTCACTAAATTAGCTCAGCACAGAGTTGCCCTCTTATGAGAACTTTTTCCCAGCATCCCCTTCTAGTACTGTCCCTTTAAATTTGGCAGAGATAAGCAGGTGCAGCCCTAAAGTGGCCATTTTGCAACCGGCTGCTGCTAACTAAATCTTCTTCCCCTGCTGGTGAGTCGTCTTTATTCCTGTTATGCACGCACCCAGCCTTCCCTAGCTGACTCCTGGGCAGAACTGACACTTTTATTCCCATTCGCTGCTCGTGTTTATTTTGCACTAGCGTGGGTGCTTGGCACTCTGCATGCCGAACACACAAAGACAGTGGCTGCTCTGATAAACTTATAGCATAAGGAGTCAAGCTGACAAACTCTATGGTGCACATACCCTTTGAACTGAATTTGCAGGGTCCAGCCCTAAAAGGGAGTTTCTTGTCTATCTTTCTTCCGAGATAACTAGAAAATGCTCATGGTTTGAGTTCACCATCAGTAAAAGAAAATCTTCAGTTGCTCCTCATCCATTACTTAGAGGCCATAGGCCTGTCCCCATTTTTGCCATTATAGTGAGTAATATATTTGTAACTCCTATATTTTTGATCTTAGATCAAGTGTAACCCACTGGTCAGTGTGTTTATATGTACCCCTCTGTGCCTGACCAAGAGAGAAAGTATGCCTCGTAACAGCTTTCAGTTAGAGAAGCTTGCTTTTTAGCTCACATAGTAGTAGAGACTGTAGTAGAGACTCATACTTTTAACTTTGGAGGTCTCCAGTTTGATCCCTAGTGTTAGCCAAGTTGGTGGCCAATTATACAAATACCATCTTTTACTTTTTAAAACCTGTTTTTGTTTTGTTTTGGCACACTCTGATCATGGCACAGCAGGTGACTGGATCAGCCCATCATTTCTCCTCCTCATGCCACAGCTCTTGCTTTTAGATGCATGTTTGAGGAAATTGTGCTGTAAATGTAGAACACAAAACAGAGAGAGAATATCATCACTCCTGCTCACTCTCCACTGGAATCCCCAATTTAAAAAAACGCTAAATGCACACACATGCAAAATACATTCATAGTCACCAGAAGAAACGTAGGTATTGTTTAATTTTTTCTAATGTCCAGTTACTTCTGCTTATCAAAAAAAAATTTTAAACCAAAAACCCTTATGGAAATATTTTACCGTGCTCATGAAATTTGCTCATAATGGAGGAGGCATATAATCCATAATAGACTTTTGGTCACACTTTACATTGATTCCATTTATAAATGGTTTATCGAAGGTTTATAAATGACTGCTAGATATTGTAAGTGTGTTACAAACATGAGTTACACATGTGGTAGTAATAAGCCTATCCAGTAGAAGGGTGGTGTAGATGGTCATAAGCAACTTAGGGTATGTCTACACTGTGATTAAAAAAGCCATGCCACTGAGTCTCACAGCCTAGGTCAGCGGGCTCCGGCTGTGTGACTAAAAATTGCAATGTAGATGTTCAGGCAGGGTCTCAGAGCCCGGGCTCTAGCCCGAACAGCTACACTGCATTTTATAGACCCAGGCCAGCAGTGGTGCAGGTCTTTGACTGTATCCCTGTTGACATGTTGGACAATTGATTAACCATTTATTAAAAATCTATTAATTTATTAAGCTTTATAAATTATTTATAAGTGCACTGCTTATATAAAGTGTGCCCAAGCTTTCTTTAGCAATTTTCTCTTCTTAAATTCAAAGGTAACGTACAAAAGGGTTCTGGGGGAGGAAAGATGCTCCATTTGGAATTTTGTGTGTTGCTCATTTATTTAGAACTTTAAATAGGCCCTCAGATGAAGACTGGGAGTTCTCTTAAATACAAAAAGTTCTAGGATATGAGCAGTATTTCATGATGCAAGAAACGTCAAAGGAATGACTAGCATGGTGCGATTCCAATCACTTACTTAGGCATGCTGATTGCAGATCAGTGCAAACTGTTGTAACAATCAAAGCCTTTGTCCTTCTGTGATCTGTGGGCACATCCCGGTTTGTTTTATTTTTATTGTGGTGAATGTGTTGATATCAAATAATGCACAACTGGCAGAATATTGCCCTTTAAGACCCCGATCTTGGAAATAGTTACACATGTACTTCACTTTATGCATGTGAATAATCTCCCTCACCCCAATGAGATTGCTCATGTGCAAGGAAACATGTTAATCAGTTTGCAGGATCAGGCCTAACCTTTCAGCCAAATTTGGTCCCTTTTAGGGCAAAATGCTGCTCATCTTCCTCAGATAGAATTTCCAATGACATCAAGGAGAATTTTTCTGGAGGAGCAGCAGACAGGAAGGAATTTGTCCCTTTCAGCCAGATCCAAGGGCCAGCAAAATTAATGGAAAGAATCCCACTACTTTCAGTGGGCTCTAGATCAGGCCCTTTGTGCACATAAAATAATAGAAACAAGCTGACTAAGGAAGTAATGTGTTCGTAACCTTGGGAATGTTTCGTGCATCATTAGATATCCATATTCAAATGGAAATGGCAGTAATTTGAAAAAGACCAAGATCCAGAGAAGCTAAATAACTGATCCTGACTGTAAGTGGCTTTTCAGCTTAATCCATTTTAACTCTTTCAATGTACTGCAAGTATATTTGTTTGAAGCTATGGCAACTTTCATAGAATATTACCAAATAGTTCTACAGCATAGAATTTCAGTTACTTTGGTAATCTACACTACTTCAAATTTATTGGCGTATTAATTTCCTGTGTATATGATTAAAAAAAGAATAGTATATTGTTAACAAAAAAAGGTATTTGTAAGTGTGTTCTGTTTGTAGATTTAAGGCTGTATTACGTTGGAATTTTACAAGCCAAGTTTAAATTGTAATATAGATATTATTTTTATATTATTTTCAAAATATGCTACAGAGCAATATTTTGCGCCTTTATTATAAACAGGGTTGTCATTTTAGTAGGTTAACTTTGGAAATATTGGTAGAAATTAACCATGAAAAGAAAGCTTTGTAAACATTCTTGTAAATTCTGAATGCTCTTTGTTGTGCACTCCAATGTCTATTGCAAGTTGGAATATATGAATGTTTTTTATTGAAAAGCTTTACATTTTTGTTTATATATTTTGGTACAGTACTTCCCTCTCCCCACTCAAACCTCTCCGACGAACACCCTTTTTTATGAGCAACTTCAGAGTCATTAATTCATCCAGAAGGTTTTCTTACCTGAATAAAAAAAGAAGTCCCTACACAGAATGTGGTTGGGATTCATAATAGTTTGAATCCATTTCAGTAGATGTATTTGTTTTTTTAAATAGGTTTATGGAATTGTTATTCTTACGAAAATGGAGAGTGAGAATGAGACGCTGGTGTCATAATTTAATACCCGTAGATTGTAAATCACTCTAGATTGTGGAAATGTCATCTAACTGGTAAATGCATTTTATCCTATTGTATATCTCTGCCCAGCATGCCTATGCGTACATTCATGTTTGCATATCCGTTTTGTGCAGATTACATTATTCAGATTTTGTTTCATAGTACTTTGCACTGAACATATCAATATCTGATGAACTGTGCAAACAAAACTGTTTTGTTTGCTACTAATGCATATGTAAGTCACAAATCAACAGGTACAATTTTTCAGATGCAGGAAGTGTTGGGTATTTTTAAAAAAACAACTACTAATGATTGTATTGCAGTCAAAATTTTCAAATTTGGGTGCCTGAAATTAGGACCCTAAATCTATATTTGGGCTAATAAATGAGAGGCCTGGTTTTAAGAGATGCTGAACATTGACTTGATTGGGAATTGCTGTTGATTGATGACTTCAGAAAATCAAGCCAGTCGTTTAGGTGCCTCTGGTGATCTTTTCTGCCTGTATGTATTCAGGGTGTTTTTTTTTTAATTGCTTTCTCTTTTTTGACTCAATGAAAACTATATGACCTTTAGTGATTTTCATTTTCTGTGTAGATAACTATGATTATTTATAAAGTGATCACTTGGGTATGGAGAGCCCTGCCTTGGTGTACCAAAATACAGTATAATTGTCCATTTAATAACAACCTACTTCTTAGCAAGGCTAGGATCCCTCAGACGTTAGGGGAAGTGTATCTTTATTTATTTTTCCTTGCAAAGCCTGACCACAATAATTTGCTTCTCTTAGGTGAACATGCTGTTTTGACCCATCTGTTCTATCTTCCATTACCTGAATGCATGTACTGTACCAAGGGAATCTAAATGGCTGATGCACATTTGCACTGTGGAACACACAATGTGGGTAAAAGCCACCATGTTCCAAACAGCCTTAAAGTTATGACTCTCTGGGGACTGAGAGTCATTTAACTGGATGCAGCCTCTGTCCCCACCTCCTCATTTACCCATGACTGTAAATTGCTCTAGTCTGCTGTAGCCTGCATAATTATGTGGTGCTGTAAAACTGTCTGCTCTGTATGTTCATTTAAATCAGAGGTAGGGTTTGTTTGGGTTTTTTGGGAAAAAAATGGTCTTGAAAGTTACAATTCTTTGATAACTGCAAGTGTGCTGGAAAACCTCAATGAAAAGGAGGGAAAAGAGAGAAAAAGTAATTGGGCAGGTAAATGGTGGGTAACATAGTAACTATGGCAACAAAATATTTAGTGGAGTACAGAGTTCTGGATATCAAAAATCATTGTCTGCCTAGGCTTGTGGATCATCCCACATAAACTCAGAGAACAAAAGCATGTTGCTTTGCCATTTATCTGTTTAATTGTTCAGATCCGTTCATTGACAAGGCTCATTCATTGTTTTTCTCCCCTTGTGAAGAGGGCTTTATTTGTAAAATTGCCTGAAGTTACAAAGGCATGATAAAATGTCAGAACAAAGTCCGTGCCTAATATTGTTCCATTTATTAATTGTAATTGGCTTTCCTTTGACTCTTTTACTGCTTTTTCATTGGAGTGAAATGCAGCTTGAAAACTGGTGACCCGATTCTCCTCTTTCTTACGCATCAGTTTTACATCAGTACAACAGCGAAGTGATGCCAGATTTACATAGGTGTAACTGAGGAGAAGGCTCTGCATGGGCTGTCATGTAGAGGTGTTACTGCTTTGTCACAGAATCAAATTAGAATGTGGCATGGGCCAAATTTTGCCCAAGTGAAGTGGTAGTTTGCCAGGAGTCGGGGACCTATGCCTAATTTGCTCAAAATAGAGCAGACTCAGCCATTGTTGTCTTTTAATATGGGCACTGTCCACTGGGCTCTTCTGTCCCCGTGAACAGCATCTTTGTATCACAGACCATAACAGTGGAATGAAGCCTTGTAGAGCTCTATTCGCTTGTACTTTGGCCACCTTGGCTTATGTCAATCAAAATAGGCTTTTCCCCATTTGTATTAAAATATGCAGGAGATCCAGTAGCAAAACAACATCAGTCCCCCATGGTCTGAGGTAGCATCCTTATGCCACCTTTCTTTTAACTACATTAAAATGTTGCTATCTGAGATGAACAGAAGAACAGCTATGCAGGGGCAGTAAAGAAGCTGTTGACTCTCAGCATTGCAAATTGTACATGTTTATGCTCTAATATTAAGAGAAATGTACAGAGGGTTTTTGACAGCCTCTTGGTCAAGATGCTGCATACTGTAAATGCAGTAACTATATAATGCATATTGTGTAGCTACAATAGATGGAAAGCCCTTTTCCCATGGAGCTCCTCGGGGAGCTTTGCATGCACATAATACAAAACTCTGTTCATTCAGCATAAGCCAAGGAGAACAAATAGGATTTAAGCCTAGATTAAATAATAAATGGAATTAGCCACACAGACTTCAGTAGTCAGGGAAGTCCAAACTGTAGTATTATACCATGTTAACTTTAATAATTTGAACAGGGCTTTGCCCCAATTAACTAGATTAGGTTCATACACTTTCCTCAGGGGAAGAATGAATCTTTCCCTGTTGTTTCCCAACCCATCACTTATTCTTATGGTAACCCTCCTGTTACAGTCACAGGGTGTTTGTCTTCCATGATTTAAGGAGAGACATTTTGTTGTGAGCAGTACATGGCTGTTGTGTTTTTATTGTACTCTTCAGTTCAGTTTTCTGTTAGTATTTTGGTGGCAAAATACTGTTATGAATATGTCATACTGCCCTTCAGCTGATGGTTGCATAATTGGAAGAATTTCTTCTCTGCAAAATTCCCGTTAGAGTCAGTAGGAGTTTTCCAAGAGTAAGTAGGATTTGGTCCTCGCATAGAGAATGCCTTGGCTAAATATGAAAGTATTGAAATAGCCCAGGGTCCCACCCATTTGATTTATTAAAGTCCATTCAAAGGTCTTCATGCAATTTTAACCAAAGCTAGTACAATAAATTTTTTAAAAAATCAGAAGAGGTGATGCAACTCTTCCTAATAACCTAACCAACTCAGAATTGTAAGAAGTCTACATAAATGTAGAGTAAATGTATTTACAGAGGACTCTCAGCAATGTTTAAGCAAATGTTGAAACAGGAAAAAGCAAGCTTCACTCATTTCTCTAGGGCAAGAATTACATTTTTTGGCAGTCAACCCGTTCTCATTTTTTTGGAGCTTGAGCTTAGTTTATTTACTGTAAGAGCACAGTCTTCTGTACATTTCTCAAGAGTTTTAGCAGAGGATTGTTTTAGGATTTTAAAAAGTAATATGGATATAATAAGCATATTAAGGCTTTATTTAAAGTTGAGGTGACTTTCCAGGTTTACTCAATTTGACCATTTTCATTTAAACGTTCATCCCATGTGAAACAAGATGATTTATCTTAAGCTTGACCCGTTAGTAATTGAATGATGTGATTGCTTTCCATCACTTTGGTCCAAAGAGAAAACATTTGGTCATTTTGAACCTGCCCTTTTTTAAATTGTTTAAATTGATTGTTCCAAAGAAATGAAAGCATTAAATAATCTTAAAAGGAAATGAATATTTTTTTTGGTGGAAAGTGCGAGTTCTTGAGAACCTTTTTTACGTGCAATGTTCATTCTCATTCAATTTCAATGTTATTTTTAATCTGATCCATTCTTTGACAAAGATGATGTAAGAACTGTTTTTAGCAGTTGGATTGTTACTTTGTAAAGTATTAAAGCACTAAACCAATTTTTGCAATAGATAGTAAATCTTGCTTTCGTTTCGGAAAACTTCCAGTTATAACTGTCGCACTTTTTATAGCAGAACTGTATTTAATTTCTTTCTTTTATGAAAGATTACTATAAGTAACTAATAGCTCTGTAATCTGTGTGAATTGGCTTCTCCATTATTTGAAACAGAGAGAAGCTATAATGCCTATTCAATAAAATTAACTTATTTGTAAAGTATCCAGTTGTCTGAATTTTTGAGCAACACTTTCATGTACTGTACTACTAACTATTATGTCAGGAAAGTGATAAGGCCTAGAGGGTGAACAGGCAGGGAGCATGCTGCAAGCCTATGGGATATCGGTTAGCTCACCACAAGACTTCCTTCTGGTGGCACAAAAATCACCAGCATTTCATTTTCAGGATTAAATTGCCTAGATTAGAACATGATCACAACCTGATGATAAACTCAAATAGGCTTGATTTTTTTTAATTTTTATGTGAGAATACAATATATGTATCTCAATAGATGTTCCCAATGTATGTGTACCATACCCAAAGGGAGAGGGGAATCAGAAGAGCCAAGAGCATGGAAGTCAACGGGACTTAAGCACACGTTAAAGATGAGCACCTGCTGCAGTGCTTTCTTGAATCGACATGTAAGAGATTAAATCTAGTAGCGACTAGAAGGCCTCCTGGTCAAGGCAGAAGAATAGTATTGACAGGGTAGAGTGAAGAAGGTTGACTTCATTTTGCAGGGCTGTAAGGCACAGGGACAAAAGTAGGGACTCATACAGCAGCTTGGAGAAGAACTGTGGGCAGGAGGAACGGATGAGAAGGAGATAGAGATGGGAGACCTCAGCAGGGGAAAGGTCAAAAGAGCACTAGGGATTTCCAATATGCCATTATAATATAACTCCTCCTGACCAATGTATAGAGGGAGCAGCATCTGCTTTGATCTGGACAGGAGGCAGGGGGTAGGGTGACCAGATAGCAAGTGTGGAAAAATTGGGATGGGGTGGGGGTAATAGGCGCCTATATCAGACAAAGCCCCAAATATTGGGACTGTCCCTATAAAATCGGGACATCTGGTCACCCTAGTGGGGGAGAACTTTTTCTTAACTGAGGCCAACATGGAAGATGTGATGGTTAAACAATAGCTTCAGAGTGAAGGGAGTGGACACTTTAGTACCATATTTGCTGGTTTGGGTTGGGAGCTGCAAAGGGAGGGGGTCCACAACCTCATGAAGAAAGCAGGCTTGGCACTGCAGAAGCAAACCCTAAAATCACAAAGAGAGCATAATTTCTAAGCATCTTAAGCAAAAATATGCCTCTACTTGAAGTTCAAGTACTTTGAAACGTGTAGTTATCTGTAATGAGCCCAGCCTCTACTCCGGTGAGTATGTGAATGTGGACCAGACAACAGGAGAAACCAGGTGTTATTTTAAAAAGGAATTCCTATGGCTTGCTATTGCCCTCCTTCCTCATGCAAGCAATATCTTAATATGCATACAGCCCCATTGACATCAGTGGAACTTCTTATAGAGGACTGCCCAAAGTGACTAATGCTGGCAAAATCTGTTGTTTAGTGAAGATTCTATAGAATGGATTGAAACAATTTGTAATATTGCAGAAGACACAAGTTGCTGAGGTTTGTGCAGCTTTGGGGGGATTGTGCCTGGACATGTCACCAGCAGGGTATCATTAGAATCCTGGACTTGCGCTGGTATAGAGAGGTAAACTGCACAGCAGAAATTCAGGTGGGAAAGGGAGATCAAGACAGCTGGAACCTGTCAGGAAGTCAGGGGCAATGGAAGAAGCAGAGGGGCTGGAGAGAGAATGGCAGAAATGGCCCTGAGCTTGGTGGGAGAAGACTGGTTCAGAGTGGATTTCCGTGGACTTCTCAGGCTGTTTGTTTGTTGAAAGTTTTTATTCTCAATTGTTGTTTACACCCCTTAGGGGGAAAACTTTCTATGGGTGGAGTTTTGCACCTGGGAAGGTAGGGTGTTTTGGGGCCGAGGTCTGAGTCTCTCTGTCATACTCCTGTATCAGTTATGGACTGGTTGCAGGACTTGCTTATTCCCAACAGATGTGTTCACCAGCATAAAATCCTTCAAAGATCTGCCAGTTATGGGTGAGGCTCTTTTAAATGAGGTCTTTTACACACAGTGCCACCTATTGGATGAACAGGATAATACAGTTTAGCATTCCATTATACCCTCTGTGACAGGTTACCCTCTGGGCTAATTTTTGGATGAAAACATAAACAGTATTCATCCCTGTTTCTTCACAACCCAGACATCAAGGCAGCATTCAGGGAGGAAGAAACCTGCATGGATCAAAACCAGGATCCAGCTTTGTGTAAATCCCTGTTAATGGAAACTACCAAGCTGGGCATGGCTCTGTTCTAGGCAGATTGAGGCAAGTTTAAAACAATAAACTCAGAGTCTCTTTGCCTTTGGGGCTTTAAATCATAACCTTGGCTTTCTACTACAGCTTAGCAGTGAGTTTGCATTTACTGTAATTGCAGACCACAGTGAGTGCGGTCATCCCTTCCTTCAAAAAAAACCAACCTGGGGGCAGGGCAAGGAAGAGGGAGGCAAGGAAATGTCCCTTCTTGGAGTGTTTCCCTGATTATTTCAGGAGGGTGATGGGCTTGCCCCCTTCAGAATAGGCCATGGGGTCTGTCCCCAAACCCCACAAATCCCCAGGGATCCACATGAGGCCAGGACTGAAAATCATGCTAAGGTTTTTAACCCTTCCCCACTACCCACCTCATACACACTGTCCATGTCCAGCCATGGCTGCTCCTGGGAAGAGGTTCTCTGGAAATGATGAAATAGGCCCAGGCTGCATTACCTTTACTAGGGACTCTCCATGGGACCAGAATGGGAACATTTGCATCTACCCCTATCTGTATTGTCTCATGACCCCGTCCAAGGCTTGGGGGGTAGGTTAGTGTCACATAAGTAATTGACACTCCATCACCACAATACCTGTATCAGGGGAATGGTAAATGATGCTGTGCTTGCCTCATTGAAATTCTGGGAGACGAGCAGGTGCGAGCCCACCCACATCTAAAGAACCCTTCCCCAACCTTTGGGAAGGAGCTACCAGACCCGGGACTCAACTGAAAATGGGGGGCAACTAAGGAAGAGCAGAAATGGGAGTGGAGGTCACAGGTTCAAAAGTAGGGACCCAGAGGGGAACACCGAGCAGAGAAGCCCGGACAGCGTCCACTGCTCCTCCAAGCTGTCTAGGGAGCCAGCGGACACCACCCAGAGGAACTCTGCCCACATGTGTGAGACAAAAGAGGAACGCAAATAATCGCAGAGCACCTCTCTGTCCAGAATCCTCCTCCTGGTGTTGTAGATGGCTACTTTGGCCAGTGCCAGGAGCAGGTTGACGAGGAGGTCTCATGACTTTGTGGGGCCAGGGACAGGGTGTGTATATACAAAAAGGTGTGGAGAAAAATGCAGCCAAAACCTCAACAGGAGGTTCTGGAGGAGCCATAAAAGGGACTGCAACCCAGTGCATTCTAGATTAGACATGCAGTGGGGTCTCCCTCATGCCGAAAAATAGACAGGCACCGGGGATGGGGGTGAACCACACCAGGTACACACCCGTGCTCACAGTTCCATGAAGGAGCTGCCAACCGATATCCCTGGCGGGCTGTGGGACCAGGGTGGAATACAGCCTGGTCCACTGGGGTTCCTCACCCTCCGCAGTCAGGCCCAGCAGTGTTTGAAACTGGGCCCGAGTTTGTCTGAAATATTCATTAGTCTTAGAGAACCACAGAACTGGAATGAGATTTGAGTTTGCAACAAATACCCAAACCAGGTGAGTTCATGTGTTTTCTTGGGTACCATTGCAATTATTTGCCATAGCTCTACTAGCCTCAAGAAGAGCTATAACAAAGGTAGCATGGTGAAAGTTAACATGAATCATTAATCCATAAATATTACTTGCTCACTTTTTATGAGAAAGCTACATTTGGAACAAATGCCAGGATTCAAAAATGGGTTGAAGTACAGCAATGTCTTGGTACAATACTGAGGAGGTCAAGATCAGCTGAGGCTCTTGATTTAACAGACCCCCTTGTTTAAATAATAGCAACACATTTTCATCTAGGAGTCCTTAACTGTGGAAATTATTTCCCCTTCCTTAGTCTGGCAGATGCCAACTTTGCAGACTTTACCGTGTCCCAAGTCTAATGTGTTTTCTCTTGTTCTTGCAGATAGGGTATGTTGATGATGCTAAGTTTTGATGAGTTAGGAGGATCTGATTACTTGATATCACTGCAATTTGTATATATATTTCCTATAAAATTGTTTGTGTGCACCCAGAACAGAGCTTTGCCACATAGATAAATACAGATAATACATGCAAATCACAGTCAGATTTAAAGTCCAGGGACCAACTTCAACTCTCCTTTTACTGAAGTCAGTGAGAGTTGTGCCCATCTACATTCAAGCTGAAGTTGGGCTGAAGTTAAGTCCAATAACATTAGTTTTAATAACAGTTTAGGGTGTAAATGTTAATCCCAAAGCCTCACTTTGTAATATAAGAAATAGTGTCATTTGTTCATGTGAATTGAAGCAGAGGCACAAGATTAGCCTGGCATCTGATCCACTTGTGAAAGTCTGTCTCTGACGTTCCATCTTCCATGCTGCGTTCCAGGAAAATAGAATGCTTTGGACATCCAGAGGTCTGATATGTTGATAAGAGATTCACCTCAGAAATGTTTGTTTTTCTTGTTTAACCAATGTTTTTGACTCAACAATAAATTACAAAGTTTAAAAAAAAAATCCTGACCCAAATTCAGATTATGGATGTGTGACTATGAAAAATAACCCCTCCCTGATCTTTTGCCAATATCAAGCATATTCAGATCCAAAATGTAGGGTGACCAGATATCCTGATTTTATAGGGACAGTCCCAATATTTGAGGCTTTGTTTTATATAAGCACCTATTTCCACCACCACCACCCTGCCCCAATTTTTCACACTTGCTGTCTGGTCACCCTAAAAAAATGGTAATTCATTAGTGTTAATTTTTAATACTCTCTCCTTCTGATCTGGTTCCAGCTGGGATTTGAAATGGAAGTGGCCCCTACCATGCATTTTTGCAGCATTTCTGACCTGACTGGAACAGGAAATACTGAGCATGGGTCATCGGCACCCTGTCAGTGCCACAGGATGTCTAGAGTTTGGGAAGGGTAAGGGTGGTGTCTGTCCTG